AGAAGAGAAGAGAAGAGAAGAGAAGAGAAGAGAAGAGAAGAGAAGAGAAGAGAAGAGAAGAGAAGAGAAGAGAAGAAGAGAAGCAAGCAAATCTATTTTGGGGAAAATATAAAATTTTGTATGCTATTCTGGAATTAAGAATGAGTTGATCATGCTGTACAATGAGAAGTTTCAGGGATTCTAGAATTTTGCCATTTCTGTGATATGAGTGTCATTCATACATATAAATAACACAAATGATGTGCATTAATACTGCAACAGATTTTCATTATCCATCAGTTGACTGACATGAGATAAATTCAGATCAAACCCAACCTGTTATTAGAGAGATTTAATACCAGTCATTCTCAAGGAAACAGCAATCTTGTACTATTTCATTGGAACAATGTTGTTTAGACAACAGAATGCAGACTTTTGTGATAACAATGGTGCAGTTGAAATGTATGCGGTGGGAAGACTATCTGGCCAGACACAATGACAGCAGGATAAAGAATAACCTGCTTTTTTTCCTGAAGCCTCACCCATTCTAGTGACTTTCCAGTCACTGTCAAAGATCCATTTAATGCAAAGCCTCTGATTTTATGGCCTTACGTTAGCCCATAAAAAGACCATATTTTAACCATGCTCACTGTCAACTATTCAAAGTAACACATTGTTTTTATCAACTGCCACAGTGACAGCAAAACTCTCATCCATTTCAATCAGAACTGAACTCCTAATATCTAATATCAAAGTGTACAAATGTTGGTGGCTAGTACAGAAATGCCAATCAGCTGTTTACTGCTGATGGCTAATGACTCTGAGAGTTTTCCTGAAGGTAATTAAACTATTTAAATCTGATTGCTATGCAGAGATTCCAGCATGAACCATTATTGTTTCTGTTTTCCAGAAATATTTTGGTAGCCTGGTCAAGCCCATTGCAAGTAAACTGGGATGGAAGAATGATGGGGACCATATCAATAGGTGAAGCATTTGTTTCAACTACTTTATATACAGACTTGTTTTTGAGCATTGTATTTTGAGTATTATCTCTCAAATGACCCTTAAATGTCCCACTCGGCTGATGTTTATCAGCCCTTACTTTATTTGTAGGATCAAAGTTACAGATAAATGAAATCTTGTGCATAATGAGATTTAAGGATCCTATTTATGTTAGAGGAAGGCAGCCACCCTTGTTAGCATTAAACAGACAAAAAGAACTAAACAGCTGTACTAATCAGCTTTTTAATTGGCTGCGTGTGCATGAAACAGAGAGAAAGAATGTGGGGGTGAAGATAGTCTTAAAGCTTAGTGCCTCCAGATAAGGCTGTTTTTTTAAAAATGTGAAATTACCCTACCCTGTTTGGATCCTGTTTTCTTTCACTGGTAATTTGCCTGTGTTTTCTTGTATTGCTTCCATGTCCTTTAACCATCAAAAGAGAATATTTCAGCAGTGAAAGATGGTATAGCTGCACAATTCTTTTGACTGATAGTTCTATTAACGTTCCCTCTAGAATCACTCTTACTTTTATCATCAACCTTCACTGAAATCTGCCTCCCATAGTGTTTGATCCACCCTGGGACAATGTGGTAGGGCATGCAGTAATGTAACATTTCCCCAGAAGGAATGTGATGCAATGATCATATCAATATCCTCCAGTTTCAGAAGTTCCTTTTTATGATAAACATTTTGGTCATTTCCCAAAGTATCTGCATGAGTACATGAATGATATATCAAATATTGGGTCTTTTCAAGCATTTCACTGAAAGCTCGGGTACTTCCATAGGTTTCTGCTTCTGTCCCTTTCCCTTCTTGACCTTTCGGTGTCCAGCAGGAGATGTGAGAGGGAACTGGTCTTGTGTTTGCTTGAATGGGAGTACACCTCTCAGTGTGAGCTTGGATCCTGCTTTATTCCAATCCTGAACTGTACAAGCAGATGTATTTATATTCAAGCCAAAGTGAATAGACCTTCCCTTTAGACCTCCTCCTGAACAAATAAGAAACAGCACTTTATCTGAATGCCTGAAGAGAGCTTCTGTAAGTACTCTAGAAAATACCTACAGGAACAAAGACTGTGTGGTCTTTTTTTCTCCTTCCTACAATTCCTATTTTATATCCCACCTCTACTTTTCAGAAACCCCTCATTTTCAGAAATGGGTTGTCATGTGCCCTGCAGCACTGCAGTTTGAGGCTTGAATGTGTGTAGGTTTAATATGTATATATAGTTTAATATGTACATGTACAACATATTCCAAACAAATAAAACATACTTTTCTTTCCTCCTTTTCTCCAGCCTCCTTCGTGCAACCGTTTTGGAATTTGCATGCAATATGGATGACTCAGAAGCTTTGGGGAATGCTTTTACATTGTTTAATAATTGGACAAATGGAATAAGGTGGCTATATATTTATGTGCAGAAGCTTATGGTATCTGTAGGCAAAGTGAAGTGGGAGATAGGCCTCTTTCCCTAATGGTATTGTTCTCTTCCATGTTAGTCTAGATGTAAACATCCGTCTCCTGGTGTACCGCTTTGGGATGCAGCACTCGGGTGATGAGCAAGCCTGGAATTATATGTTTCAGAAATACCAAAACACAACTTTAGCTCAAGAAAAGGAGAAGCTTCTATATGGCCTGGCATCAGTGAAAAATATCACTCTGCTGAACAGGTCTCTTTAAATTATCTTTAACTTTGTGTATTAGAAGTGTTCATTTGCTGTTCTTCAATCTTGGTTCTCAAACAAAAAAGTAACCAAAAAGGGATGGTGGGGGAACTTGAAGCAGCGTTTCTGAGCATGTGCTTAGTGGGCAGAGATGTTTAGCAGGAAGCAAGTGAAGAAATCAGTGATTAATTTCCCAACAGATACAATGCTATCTTTCTAACATCCTTTCACCAATATTTACACTGGGACCATGGGTTATGGTTTCATATACACAGGATTGCTTAAAGCAGTAGCTTTCAAACTGTGGTTCGCTGCCTGTGAACTGCAGCATTCCTTGAAATTGATCAGGGAATTCTTTAATTGACAACAAGAATAATGGACAACTTCCCTAAAGCACCATGAGCTAACTTGACCTACCCATCTTGCAAAGTGGAACTGAAGGGAAGTGCAAGATGTGTTTTGCACAGTTTACATGGGCAACCATGACACCCATGTGATTTAGCCAGTTTCCTGAATCATAGCCAATGCCATATTTAATGCAGAAATATATTGTCTTAATACATCAGGGAGGGTTTGGTCTAATGCTTCCCACTCACCATGCTCCTTACATCTTTCTTGACTGATGTCTTCGGGACTCTGAGGTTTTGTTTTTTTTTAAGTTACTTACTTCATGTAAATTAGGTTGAGAAAAGCAGTTTGTATCTCATCTTCTATGCAATCCTAATGAGGTACTAATCATCAGATATAATTGCTTTGTTTTTGATTCTAGATTCTTAAATTGCATCAAAAATACAAGTCTCATAAGAAGTCAGGATGTATTCACTGTCTTGAGATATATCTCCTTTAATAGCTACGGCAAAACAATGGTTTGGGACTGGGTACGTCTCAACTGGGAATATTTGGTCAAACGGTAAGTGTCTGCTCCCTAGACAGTTCTCTCTCTTTTTTTGAAGCCACTTTAATTTTGTTGGGAAAAAAAATCCTAAATATAAGGACATCCAATTTTAACATGTCTAAGTGCCATCAAAGCTGGAAGATAAATTTGCTTCATCTTGTTGTTTCTTGTTTTGTGAAAACAGGAACACCTTAGATGGTTATTTGCATAATAAATTTAGAAATAGTGTTTATGCAGAACCTTCCCAAGACTTTGGTTGCATCTTTTCACATCACCTGCAGAAAAAGCAAAGTGCAGAGCTGCAGATAAAGCTGAGTCTCAAATCTCCAGGGCCTGATATTGATCATGAGCCATGCTGGAAAAGGGAATTGAAGAAGTCCATAAAAAGGTCATATGCCCCCTACCCAGATTCTGGGGTAAAAAAAGAACGTGTTTATTTCTATGACTGGAATTGCCTCTGGACTGTCCTACTCCCCTATGGAAATTGGAAAAGTGGATTGAAACAAAGAAGGACAGAAAAGGTCAATGTAAGCAAGATCAGGTCAACCCTTAGGCAAGCCTGAGTATTTTCTCTTGTGGCAGCAAATTGTTGGCAGAAAGCCTGGCTGCATCCCAGGTTCTGCCTTGTGGGGCTTGAAGGAGACTCTTCCATTGCTCGTGTGGAAGAAAGATGCTGCTGCTAATCTCCTCAGAATGAAAAGAGACGTATTTTTGCTCTTCAATAGCAGGAGGGAAAGAAAAAGATTGAGATTCTTTATTACAGTCCATGATCAACCTATAAAAATATTAATTAATTTAGGTAAGCATGTTAATCAAACTACTGCACATCTTACATATTACGTGACAAAACTTGACCACACTTAAAGAAATAGTATTGCTTGAGTCCAAAAGTTATACCTGTAAATGAAACTGATCAGAATGACCAGGGAATTTGGTTAGGTGCTAGGTTATCAGTTTATGGCAGATATCATCATAAAATGAACAGTATAATAAGATATGTCTGATAGTTTCAGTGCTTCCTTCTTGGTGTGGGCATTATCTAGATTGGAATGGAATGCCCTTATATCTCCCCTATGGAAGCAGCTAAACATCTTGGGCTAGCATTGTATCTAGACTATGCTGATAGTTTTACTAAGATTTACTAACCGCAATGCATTTAAAGCCTGTTTGAAACAAGCACCAGGGCTGCCTTCAAATTTTGAGGAGGCTTGACAAAATGTTTTCTGGGACCTCCTGTCCTAGGTTAGTGGAACTCCTTGCAGGCTTGTTTAATAGCAAGTTCTCTCTAATCAACACAAACAGTAAGCAAAACATTGTTTTGCTTACAGACTACTCTGGGGAAGGAAGCAATTTTAATTTTCTACATAGCCAGGAACACAGGTATGGAAATTAAAATGCCTGCTTCCTGCAGTGTACAGGATCCTGATTAGGTTCAGTCCCTACCCAGTGGCTATTAGCTGTAGAGATGATGGTGATGGTGATGGTGATGGTGATGATGATGATGATGATGATGATGATGATGATGATGATGATTCTGTTTCTATTAAGTAGTTTATCCTGAAAGCCAATATATAGTAGCCTCCATGTTTGCATGCATAAATATGAATATGTTCTTTTTTCATAGATATACTCTTAATGATAGAAATCTTGGCCGCCTAATATCAAGAATATCAGGCACATTTAACACAGAGCTCCAGCTTTGGCAGGTAAGGATGCAGCCTGGTTACTACTGTTCAGCTGTCCAGTTCTCCAGATACCAAAGATGCTAAGATACTCTTCCCCATCCCTCTTCTAGGTGCAACCATCTAATGAGATGGATGTCAATGGATTTCTTGATTGTGGCACTAGGCACCTCATAAAAGCTTGCCTAGTTCCTATGGTATAGTCTTTTGGGCCTGTATATTCTCCTGACATTTCAAAAAGGGTTTTATTGGGCATTTATATAAGCATTAACTAGGATGATCAAACCAGAACATGAACTTGGGAACCGAAATCTGACAGAAATATTGCTCCATTTTTTGATGGCAAACAAAAGATTACAATACATACAGCAGTACCTTTCACCTCAAGGTTAGCACAGAATGCCACAGTTCCCCAAAGGACTATCTATATAATATAACTCAATCAACTATAAGATCCCCCCCAAAAAACAAAACAAAGTAAAATAAAACAACAACAAACCAAGCCAAAAAGTTCATATCCAGCCATGAGCCAAGTTTGTGGCAGCCCTCAAAGGTTAATAAAAAAGAGAAAGAAAAAGAAAAAAGAAATTGCAACCGTTGCTGGCAATAAAGTTTCCTAATCCAGCCTAAATGTATTTATTTGCAGGACTTATATGACCACCTATCTCGTGTAATTTCTGTTTGTTTTCCCCATTTGTCAGAAGGTCATGTTCTTTTCCACTCTTTCTAGTTTTCCTGTGAATAATCTCTGAAAGTTGTATGACTCAGTTTAAGGTTGGGAGCAATTTAGATTGAAGCTGTATGTGGAAACAGAGTTGGACCTGTACATACCCACAGTATGGCCATAATCCAAACTAAGCAACACTCTAGCTGTTCTTAAGGAAGAAAAGAAATGTAGGAAGTTGTATCCAAGAACGCTTGCAGAATGCATAATTGGCCCTGACCTAGTAATGCAATATGAATTATGTCACCGATGATCTAAACTTGAAACCATATGGAATATGGGCAGCTCAGACTTGCATTAGTTTACATTACAGCTATAGCCATGCTAGTTTGTCGTACATTTCTATGCCATATTAGGACGGTGCCTGATCCACTCTGAAGGGTAGACCCAGCAGTCGGTCAATAGTTTGTCTGCTCTGTGACAGTCCCTGGTTCAGAAACATGATTCTAAAAAAAAACAAAAAACCAGAGCTTGGCCCTTCCATCAGCTAGAATAGGAGGAATGTTAGCAACTGAGTAACTTTAAAAAAAAAAAAGTCAAAGCAAGATATAAATAATACAAAAGCTAGACCATTATGAGGGGGTGGCCCATGCCAAATTTAGAAATCAATTCGAGGACTTTCAAGTTATGCTACCTTAAAAATCTGTGGATCTTTTTTTTTTTAAGTAGCACAAGATTCTTGCTTTGGGGCAGATGATTTTGCAGCAAAATGTCACTTTCACGAAGAGTATCTATGGCAAATTTAAGACAGGTAGATGGTGGAGTGTAAAGAGAGGAGTCAATGATGGTAACATTTGATGATGCACACCTTTTGCATCTGATATTCAAAATCATCAGAAATCTAAAAGATTGGCTCACTGATCTTTTCCTATCAGCTAGTTAAGAGAGTTCATCAAACACTGTCGAACAATCCGTAAGGATGAAAGTCTAGTAAAAATCAGGTGGAGTGAATAGTAAAACTAAGGTTGTCTGTGGCCCTTAAGATTTCTCCAGATTTCTGCTGATATGACTGAAAAGGGTCTGATTGCATGAGTCACTTAAACAAGGATCACTTTGAGCTGAGGGTGTACTTGTTGGTCACCAAATCCAATCTCCTCCTTTTCTCCACCATGGTATTTCTTTCAACCAGTAAATTTTAGCATGACAACCACAGTGTGCTAAAATTCCAGAACAACAAATCAGGAATGGAGTTTGAAATCAAAACAAGGTGTAATAAAATTGTTCACTCTATGTCATGTAAATTATAATCTGTTTTGAATTACTCTGATCTGCTTCAGAATTCAGGATTCATTCCAAATCTATTGCATAGTTTTAGACCAGATGCATAACAACCCAACCAGGTATAACTGAGTTCAAAGCCCATTTACAGAATATAGGTGATGATTAAGTATTGGCTTGTAGCTTTATGAAAATGATGTACCCCTAAAATTCTGCAAACTGGAGATACATGAAACTGTTCGGTCTTCTGGAAACCAGTTCTATTACATTAATGTTTGCACATGTTTTATCTTCTTAAGATGGAAAATTTCTTTGAGAGATATCCTAATGCTGGAGCAGGAGAAGCATCAAGAAAGCAAGCTTTGGAAACTACAAAGAGCAATATTGAATGGCTAAAACAATACCGAGATGAGATAGCAGCCTGGCTTGAAAGTTCAACTCCACCAAGCCTTGCATAATTGGGTCTCACCCTTCATGAAAATTCTTAGGATTTTTTTTTTTTTTAAAACATATCAACGGTGGTGATTTGCAGAAATATTACATTCAGATTTTGACAAAGCTGCCAACTTTGAAATACATTGATCTATTGAAATGTATATGAAAACTAGCCAGTCATTCTCAAATGTTCCTGTAAACATTTCTTGTCTCTTAGAACATTTGTTCTCATTTTAATTGGACAAAGTGTAAAATCATCATTTGCACATACATAATTATAGGATCTCCATTACCTTTACGAGCATTACTGATGTATGTACTTACCACATAACCACCATTCTGAAAATAAATCCTTTCCTTATACAAAAAACTTCTTATTCCATGTGCTCAGGAGGCCCTGCCAAATAAAGTTTCATAAAATCCATTCCAAATGGTGGGCTTTGCCTCCATTCAGAAAAAAATAGATAATATATATATATATATTCTCAAAGGAAATAAAAGCACCAGCCTGATTTTTGGAAACAAACCACAAACACTTTTTCTACTATATATATAGAGGGAGATAGACTGTTATTGTCATCAGTCATTTTTGATATTTCATAGATGGATTTTTGTAGTTTAAAGCTATTATCCTAAAGTGACTTTGAAAAACCCATAGCTCTGAGGAAGGGTACATCCATGGCAAGAGGAAAATGCATATTCAGAAATCTCAGGAATCAGCAACATTTCAATTGGTGGACATTGCTGTATGGCTTTGCATGGGCACCTAAACTTTTTTTAATGTCCAGCTCTCACCTCCAGGTCTCATATGATCTCACACACATTTGGGCAATCTTGCAAAATTTCAGCCATTTGGGATTGGATTTTAACAATGGAAAATGGCCAGGATACAATTTTATAAACAAATAATTTAATCTGAAGTTTTTATGCACAACATATAAAGAGGATGTGAGTGCTGCAGCACTCCTGGGTGGCTGTATTGTCAGTCCCTGGAATAATCAGCACTCTTGTAAATTGTCAGCCACACTAGATAGGCCAGAAAAATAATCTCCACAGGAAGACTACAAGTATACTTCACTGAGATAGGCTATAACAACAGAAACTTGCAAGCCTGATTGTGCTCAACCAACCCTCCTTCTCATGCCCCAGTGAAACAGGGAGAGGCTTGCCTGACTTGCTTCCAAATACCATCTTGCTTTGCGGAACTTAAATAATAATTCAGCCCTCTTTGCTTATGCAACGGTTCTTGCATATTTCTGGTAAAGTCATCTCCCTTACTGTCTACCTAAGTACACAAGCAGTCCAAATCATTACAGTACAGTTTGATGTCTGCAGCTGTAGGAGAAGATAATCTGACTAGAAAAAAAATCTGTAGATTTGGTTTGGTAAGGGTATGAATGTATAAATATATATCATTTAAATGTAGATACCTGGACTTGTTTAACATCATGAATCTAAGCACTTATTTTGAAGTTAAGCTATACCACGTACACATTACAAGTCATCATCAGGATGCTGTTTAAATCAACTTTCCTTCTCTGTTGTAATGTTTGCAAGATTTTTTAAAGAAAAAGATTGTCAATATCATGGAGAAAGCCTTCATGTCCTATCAGCTGCTATCAAAAATGTCTATGGGGACATGGAGATTCTCTGCACCACAGCTGCAGTGCCCATTGTCAGATTTAAACCGAGCCTAGAAGTAGTTGGTGTTGTGGGAGTCACATGCCAGCTTCCACAATTTGCTTGCAACTTAGAATGCCAACATGTACTGCCTGAATGCTATTTTGATGTTCCAAATTGTTTATTTTTATCAATGAAAAATTAAATAACAGAATATTTCCAATTTTAAAAGTTTCGTTTGTCCCATCTTTTAAAAAGAACTATGTTTGGATTAGATTATTATTGAGATTGGCCTTCAAAATAGTTCAAAAGCTGTAGTTGATAGAGTATGTTATTGAGGTTCTAATTTTAAGCAAGACTTAAGCTAATTTGTGCTTCTCTTTCCTGGTTTTCTGTATGCTCCTGTGTCCAAACCAAGATACATTTCCTATAACTCTATTAATATTCTGAGTGTAGAGGATTAGCCTTAGCTAATGTGATGTCCTTTCTAGAAACAATAGCCAGAAGTGGGAAATCTGGACAAGGACTGTAGTGAGCCGAAGAGTTCCACTTTGAGGGGTGAAGCTAAAGAAACATGAGCTGTTTCACAAGAATTCACAATGCAATATATCTCAACAACAAGCTATATGCTCACATAAGTCTTGAATTGTCCTGTCTAATGTCCCTCAGGATCACTTTTTTAAAAATTGGGGGACAAGGTCCTTCCAACTCCCACAGCTATATGGGAATAAAACAACCTCCATATGCAATAAAGGAGTTTTTTAAAAACCTGCATGTGAAACATGTATGTGAAATGTTCTAAAAAGTAGCTGGGGGAGTTAAACTTCCTATCTCCCTACCCACATACTGCATACAGATCCAGAATGCTCCACTATTCTATTCTGAATGAAATAAAACACTACTGGGCCAGATGGGACACAATCAGCATATGTTTTAGTTTGCCTTTTAATTTACTCTAGAACAATCACTTGCTCAAAAACTATTCAGCAAAGGAGGGAACAAACTGCATGATCTTGGATGTAGGGACTCCTCACCCACAAACTTATGAAAGACAGTAATCAGACTGGAACTATATTGCAGAAGTAAGAGGGCTTCAGTGGTTTGTCTTCCTGAAGTTCTTTTTCATGTTTTGTCTATTCTGAATGCAATTTCCACCATAAAAGAAGACCCTTTCAAAAAGAAAAAGAGGAAAAATGAAACAGTTGAGTATTAATAAAGGTGAAAGAAAACACACTGCAGAAAGACTTATCGTGGAAAGTAACCCTTCCGTAGCAGGTAAAACCAAAAAATCACCTGGTCACCTGTGCTAGATTGATCAATTGATAGATTGCTTATGTGGCATCAAGTCATTTGTAGACTCTTAGTGACCACATAGATAGATTTTCTCCATGATGTTCTATTCCTAACCTGGTCTTTCAGGTCTTCCAACCATGCACTCATTGCCACTGTAACTGAGTCCATCACCCTTGCTGCTGATCGTCCTCTTCTTCTCTTTCCTTTCACCTTTTCCACCATTACAGCTTCTCCAGAGAGTGAGGTCTTCACATAATGGGTCCAAAATAGGATAATTTGAGCCTGGTCATATGTGCCTTGAGTGAGACCTCTGAGTTGATTTGTTCAGTGATCCATTGGTTTGTTTTCTTGGTATCTCAGGAGTCTCCTCCCACCCCAAAGTTCAAAAGCATCAATACTAGTCCTATCCTGCTTCTTCAAAGTCCAACTTTTGATAGGTGATATCTCTGCTTCCTTTTCTGAACTGTTGAGGAACATTAACCTTTTGTAAAGAACTTTGAAGTTGTTTGAATAAGCTACAGTGACTGCAGTGCAGAAAAGTAGGAAGGTCTTTTGCTCATTCACTCTGTGGAGTGAATAGCACTGGATAAATCCACACAGGAAAGCGGGCATTGCAACTTTGCACAGGTATGAAAAATACCCCAAACCAAGTCTTAAAAATATGTTCATAATGGCAAACATTAGTTTCTGTAACAGCAGTTCTCAATGTACCACAGTGTTGGGGGACTCAGAAGTGGCCTCAAGGAACAGATTAAATCACCTTTATAACTTTAAGTCTGTAAACGTGTTGTAAATGATAAATATATAATAGTAGAGTGCAATAAGCACATGTACATCCATGGAAAAATTGGTCAATGAGACCCAAATTCTTTGACAAAGAAGTTGGTGGGACTTCAGCTTTGAAAGGTGGAAAGCCACTGCTCCAGTACATCAGAAAAAGCCATGGACATCTGCAGGTATGGTCAGGAAAATCAGGATGGCGGCCATCATTACTTCCACCTGTTTTTGATGAGCACACATAAAAAAATATGTGGAGCTTCAACTGCACCACTGTGGCTGCCATCTTGACTTTAAAAAGTCATGCACTACATCATACAGACACCCCTGGAATGAGCAAATAATGTCAATTTCAAAGAAAATAGCCCATGTGAAAGCACCCTGGCCTGGTTCACAAACCATGTGAGTAGCTGAAAGCAACCCATCTCTTCTGCAAGCTATGGTAAAACCACAGTAAAAATCTAAGAACCTCCTCCACAAACACTTTTGCATGAAGATTCCACATGGATCCAAACTATCATGGTTCTGCCAATTCCCACCCTTGTTTATCTCGCCTAGATGGAGCTTCTGGATCATACAGCCAAGTTTACCATTCTATTCACTACATCACACTGGATCATGGAAAGGGAATGTGTTTACCTCCTATGGTGGCTCATCTTCCATGGCTCCAAGTGCTCACTGGTGAATAAATCAATATGGTGAATATAGAGATGAATACTTCTATCAATTTGATCTTGCTCGGTTTATTAGTTTTCCAGTTTTAAATTTATTTCATCCTATGTTTGTATTTGTTTGCAATTTTCAGTGAAAATCTGCTTCCAATTTTATGCAGTTTTGGGCACTTTTTTTCCTAAGATACATAATTTTTTATGGTGAAAAATGTACTTTTTGCAATATAAACACAATTTGCACAGATTTAAGAACATGCATTTTTGTAATTTTCATAAGCACACATATTATTGCATACATTTCCCCCTATATACATATTTTGTATATATGTTTTTGCTTGGGGAAATCACCATAAATGTCTAGAACCTGAGAATATCAAAAGATCATTGCGATTAGTTAAGACTGCATTTAAATGTAGACTTAATACAAGGAAAAATGTATTTATTCCTACTTTTGATTGCATGTTTGCTAAAAGAACAAAAAGATTAAGTAATTCTAATATTCCAAATCAAAAGAGCAAACTGTATTAATATAGTTGCAAGTTTGCAAACTTACCTTTTATCATTATGTATTAAGAGCAACCTCTATTGGCAAAGAAGAGTCATTACAATCAATTAACATTTTACGCTGCTTTAATGTTTAATTCATAGGCACATATTGGGGGACACAACCTTCCTGAGATTGGGGGCCACACTTCAAAAATGAGCATAGCCAGGAAAATCTAAATTTATTATGATGGCTGATATTGTGTATTTCATAATATCAATGTCACATTAAAAATTACAATTTGATATTCATGTTGGAAGGGCCCCTGGGTGTTGCATAAAAAGTTTTGGGGTTCACATAGCCCTGAGGCTGTAAGTTACAAACCCTTGTTTTAAATAAACATTAGCTGGAATATCTTGTATTCTTTTCAGGATTATGGTGTTTACTATAGTTTCATGTTGCCATCCTAACTTGCGTTTTACAGGCTAATTTTATTTTTAGAGGCTTCTCCTTGATTAATAGAAACTGAAGATAGTAAATAATCCACTGTTTGCTGACGGTTTAGAGCAGTGTTTCTCAACCTCAGCAACGTGAAGATGTGTAGACTTCAACTCCCACAATTCCCCAGCCAGCATGACTGGCTGGGACATTCTGGGAGTTGAAGTCCACACCTCTTAAGTTGCTAAGGTTCAGAAACACTGGTATAGATTATACCTTATTTCAGGGCAGAACTAATCATTTTGTTTAGCAAGAACCAACTTAGAAAGACTTCAACTCCCAGAATTCCCCAGTCACACATCTTCAAGTTGCCAAGGTTGAGAAACACCTGTTTAGAGGACTGAGTCTTCTATCGTGATAGGTTTTAAGTTTTCTGGCATAGAGCTGATCTTTGACAAAACGAGACAAAAAACTGGATCGGGGTTCTGCAAGAATTTGATAGGTTCCATGAAAGACTAAGGGGAGATCCCTCAAATGCAGCCAGTTTTCTGTCTCTACAGTTTTACTTCCAGATCAGAGGTTCCAGGATTTTTTTTTTCCTTAAGTAACAGGTTCCACAGCCTGAAAAAGTTTGAAAATCCCTGGTCTGGATGTTGCCGTTAAGCAGCTTTCTCAAAACACACATAAAACACACAGAGAGAGACTGTTCTGGTCTCATTCAAGTCATGTCACAAAGTCTAAAACTAAAAATAGGCCTTTAGGTGTCCTTCCCCATCTTGGTGTCCTTGAGTTGTTGGCTAAACAGTAACAACCCCAGAAGGCATTTGCAGAGGAGAGTAGGAATGATAGCCTGACACATCTGCAGGGACATCAGATTGAGGAAGACGATTCAGATGTTGTTAGCCCTAGTGATAATGGCATCCAACCATCGCTGAGCACCGCACAATCTGAGTGCATTGGTGCTATAATTTCACAGCAATGGCTGGATGATACTAGAAGTTGATTGTACCAACCACCTATGATGCTATCTCTACTCCTTTGAAAAAGATTTATTTTTGTTTTCTTTTTCTGCTTAGGATTCCCCCCATATAGCAACTATCCAGCATGTTGCATAGAATTAATGGAGTTAATGGAGGCCTGGTTGAGGCCCCTGACGTTCTCCTGCAGCTTCTTCACATGATCATCTTCCTTCTATAAACCCTTTTGATAAACCTGTCTCTAAATGTTCCCTAATTTTGCTTCTCATCCAGCAGCCATTCTGTCAAACCACAGCCAGAAACATACAGAATGGGCAGGGAGGGGTGCAGGGAGGAAAGGAAAGCAGACTCGCCATTAATTCTCCTGTTTCCCTGGGCTTTAACTTTAACTGTCATCTCATCAGGCTGTGGAAGAGGGGGAGACAGGAAGCAGAGCCATTCCATCATTTCAGAGGAGACTAGTCACGTTAGGTTCTTTTTCACTGCAGTTTTCATTCCAGCTGTTTGCACAGGAAACTACTGGCTGCATTACAGACAAACTACAGGGCCCTTAGGAGAACCTTATAACATTAGGCAGCAGAACCTGGATTT